ACAGTCACGCACAAAACTTTTAGATTTCTCATATATATATATATAATATATATATATATATATATATATATATATTATACTAGTTGAGGTTAGCACTGCCCACCCGAAAGCTTTCAACTGCGATCATATTTTTGGAAAAATATAATGAATTGTTTGTGCCTAGCTATTTTTATATGTAGTCTCTATTTAATTTTTGAGCTAACCTTCATAAAATGTTTCTTTTTTATGTTTTCTTGTGCACCTATATATAGTTGGGTAATTGAAGACAACTTTAGTATTTCTAAGTTAGCTAATTTTACAATCGAATGGTAACTAAAAACATAACAGGTGATAAATGAAAATCCACCGATAAGAAGAATTAATTTTATAAAACAAAAAAGGGGTCTTGTTTCTTTTATACGTTTTTTTCAACACTAAAATATAACTTTTGTTAGATTTTTTCTCAAACACATAAAATAGTATATTTATTTTCTAAATAAATGAGGTTGCATTTACACGTACAGTTTAATGGCTTTTTCTTTGGTTCTAATGCTGTAAAATAGATTATCTTTTATGCATTTTTTGTTACCCCAAAAATATAATTTTTTGGTATTCCTTTTTTCCTTAATAAATAAGCTTGTATTTATAGAGAGAGTTGTTATACTCTATACATAATTTTAATTTAATACTATACACAAATTATAAATAAGGCTGCATTTACCGTAAGATTTGCTAATTTTTTCTTTGATCATGATAGCATAAATAAATTTTTTTATGCTCCTTTCTCTCATTGTAAAAATATAAATTTTGACTGTTTCTTTAACGCTGGATTTACAATCACAATCACTAGCCCTTTGCTTTAATCCAATTATAATACTATGCAATAAATTTTCTTTTATATTGGATCTATTCTATGATTACAAAAATATAATTTTCCGGTGTTTCTTTTTTCTCTAAATCTCAAACAATAGAAAATCTTGAATAGAAAAAAACTAAAGCATAAATTCTCACAATGTAACTCTCATATTTCTTTTTAAATAATAGAGAGTTTTTGGGCTCCGTATTTAATTTTAATACTCTACACTCCTAAAGCACCACAAATAATTGATGCATTTTTAGCCCAAAAAATTGAAATTTTCATATTACCAATGCAAACTGCATGATATTTTCTGCTCTTCCATGCCTTCAGTATTTAACCCTAAGGTGGTCATTGAAAATCACCAAAGCATTGCAAACTCAAATTATTTTAGTATAAGGATATTATCTTGATCAAGAATCTTTTGTCTTTTGGTCTCCATAAATGTTTTAAAATAATTAATTTAGCACACGCTACATCTAATTGGGTGGAATTAAGAAAGTACCAATCAAAATGCTCTTAAAAAGTTTGCAGTAGAAATCTGTACAAAGACCCATTTGAAGGGGCAAGAAAAATGCATTTTCTATAATTCAAGGGCAATAAAATAATTTTAAGAAAACGTGAAAAACGTTACCTTCTACCACTTTCTAGGAAGCAACAAGAAAGGCAAACTCTTCTATGAACCCCCGAACCCAGATTTGTGCGATTCATTTACTCCTTTGCCAATTGCCATTCCAGTCCTAGATTAGGCAGCTGCAATCTGATCGCTATTTATATCACATTTCTTTCCAGCAAATCATTTTAACGATTCCCTTTTTTCTCTGCTTGCATCGATTCGCGAGGAGTAATTGACGCATTTTTGGCTAAATAAGAAGAAAGGAAGCAAACAGATTTTGTTTAACTTCACCGGCTTTGCTTTTGCTGTAGACTAGAGGACAAAAACCCAGCTGGCTTTGGTTTCTTTTTGAATGATTCATGCTTTTACACGGTTGGTATTTTGCTGACTTGCTTGGGGGTAGTTCACCAAGATTTATCTTTGACGGAGTTTTCAAACTTTGACGGAGTTTTCAAAGTTTGACTGTTGTATTATTTATTTAGGAATGTTCATATGATGTGGGATGATTTCTTGGTATTTAAGAAAAAGCCTTTGTGATAAAATTTGATTCTTCGTGCTAGGTCGGTTCTAGAAGTTTAAAAAGCAGATAAAAACGGAGGAGGAGATTTCCTGTACATAGAGTGCTGAAAATTTGATTGGAGGAGTTGGTTTTATATTGCTGTTAGACATGCCTGGAAAATCTAGAAATCTTGAAGTTTGAGTGCTTGATTAGGTTAATTTTGGTGTGTAGTATAAAGGGTTCAAACCCCATTCAAGAATTCCAAGTGGGATTACTTGAATTTGTATTCTAAGCTATTCAGTATAACAGCTTTAGGTTGGTAGTCATTGTTTGGTAACTATTCGCAAAGAATATTAAGGTTGTGTTGGGGTAGAATTCATATTTGTATTGATATAAGATGGTTGGACTGCTGAGGGAATGAGTAATAATGGTTACTTGAATGGGGCCACTAATGGTACTACGGAGGAGAAAGTTGATGAGCTTCGTCGACTTTTTGGGAAAGCAGATGGTGATCCGTTGAGAATTGTTGGTGTTGGAGCTGGAGCATGGGTAGTGTTTTTGCAGCAATGCTGCAGGATGCGTATGGTAATCTCCGCGAGAAAGTTCATATTAGGATATGGAGGAGAGCTGGGAAGGCTGTTGACAGAGCAACTGCAGAGCACCTATTTGAGGTGATTAATTCAAGGGAAGATATCCTGAGAAGGTTGATTAGGAGATGTGCATACTTGAAGTATGTGGAGGGAAGGCTAGGTGATCGAACATTGTATGCGGATGAGATTTTGAAGGATGGGTTCTGTTTGAATATGATTGACACGCCTCTTTGTCCTATGAAAGTTGTTACCAATCTGCAGGAGGCTGTATGGGATGCTGATATTGTCATCAATGGTTTACCATCAACAGAAACACATGTGGTGTTTGAAGAAATTAGAAGGTATTGGAAAGAAAGATTGACTGTACCAGTTATAATTTCTTTAGCAAAGGGTATAGAGGCTGAATTAGAGCCTGAACCACGGATAATTACTCCCACTCAGATGATAAATAGAGCAAGTAAGGCTCTCTCTTTGGCCTTTTTAATTGGTTTTCTGCCCTTTTTTATCTGATTCTGATGCCTAGTACTTCTAGAAGGTTATCAAATACTTCAACTTGTTGAGGATAGTTCGTTATTTGATGAATAGCTTCACTCTCTACTAATTATTTTTATTGCTTTCAAATGGAACTTAAAAAACCACGTATCTGCTGATGTCACTGATAGGTGTGAATTCTCTGTTATACTGGTATTTTGCCCCCCGGACCTATTTGTATCGTGTGCTAACCTCCTTGGCATTTATGATTTTAGTATATGTGTTTATATGTTTAGTTTATTTTTTGTTTCTTGGCATTTATGAAGGTAATCACTTTAGATCACCTCTTGCGGTAGGATCAAACTCGATACTCTTCAAGGTGTTAGATTGGAAATGGAAAGGATAAAAGGAAAAAAAAATGAAACAAAAACTATTTATGTTTGAGTCAAGGTGGTAGTTTCATTGAAAAGCTTTTGGACGCAAACTTTTGTAATTTTGAGAAGGTGGACACTTTGGAGCATGGAAACTAGAGTTATAATCCTTGCCTTGTAGGTAACATAGGCTTTTAAATTTTTGGGTCTAGTCATTCTATCAATGAGCTATTGAGCAGTGGAATGAAGTTGTTAAATTCTTATTTCCGAGATGATGAAGTTGTTAAAATAGTCACATCGAGTAAATTGTTTTAAGATGTCTGTTAAATGCCAATGGACTACAGAAGCCTACCTTACTGGTATGGACAAATAAAGCATCTTACTTTTCAGTTGATCTAGATTTTTGAAGTGGCAGTCATTCCAGAGACAAAAGCTATTGCCGTGGTAGGAACAAGTTATCAGTCTGCTAATCAGTCCATCAGTTGCAACTCCAGTCTCGGAAACTGATTCTTCTTCAAATGCAAGAAATCTTTTGCATGAAGAAAGCATGGTTAAAAGTTTTTGATGATTAATCTCCTCATTTCTAGTGCTGACCTAACTTGAATTGAGTGT